CAAGTGCTGGTCTCTGGACAGTGCTAGGAGGAGAGGAGAGGAGAGGAGGAGAGGAGAGGAGAGGAGAGGAGAGGAGAGGTGAGGTGAGGAGATGAGAGGTGAGGAGAAGCAAGACCAATCTATAATAAAATGAACGTAATCAATAAGTCCTGGTCTCTGGACAGTGCTATTTGATTGATAGTATGTGGTTTTCATGCAAAACTGTAAGTAATGTGTAAGAAAATACAACTTGGGCACCTTGCACATTTTGCAGTCATGATATGAAATTGGTCTTGCCTCCAAAACTGCATTCTGTCCATATCATTTAGCGTACTCATATCCTATGCATAGCCTGGTCAGTGTAATTTCCTGTCTCTTAGACATTACATTATATACTGATGTCCTAACAATAATTTTATAATGCCAGATTGTACCATGTCAATTTTTCTTCAGTTTTTTGATGGTCAAAGATAGCTGATGACCCATTTTTTCTTTTGTTTTAGAGATAATGGTATTCTACAGTATAGTTCTTCATTGGAAAGTGCCATTTTGACTAACTGATCAACCTTGTCACAGTTTGATATGCTTATGTGAGAGGGGATCCAGTATTGTGACATTTGTATACCCTGCTCTGATAGTCTTGAACTTTGGTGAAGGATAAATCTAGCTACCAAGTTTTCTGGAAGAAGTGCAGAGAGTCTAAAGAGTATGCCTTGGCTGCAAGTAAAGACAGCTAGGTGTTGATGCTGTTCACTACCTTTTTCAATGGCATGGTATTTGTCTACTGACACAGCACCGGTTGTGCATGTTCAGTAGGAAATCTGCCAATTTTCTTTAAGATCAATGTCAGGATTTAGTACACCAATCCCTGCTGCTCTATGAGGATCAGTAGAGATATCATATTTTCCATATATGTACAGTGGAGGTACCATAAAGAGGAAGAACTTCATCTATGTTTCATTTAATGAGCTTTTAGCTCTATTATTTAGACCCTACTAATTTGTCAATATATACATGAGTTCTATGTCAAGGCGCAGTAAGTGCATTTTCTGGAATGTTTATAGTAACAATGTTCTACACATTAAACCCAAGCCACCGGGCATGGCATGTACGCACATGCCATTGTCCAATGTGTGTGTTGAACTTAGTAATTGTTTTTACATATAGATGGCTCCACAAGTACTAAGTCACCAAAGAGTCAGTTAAGCGAACTACATCTCACCTGTTCACCTTTTTCCTTGATTTTCGATTATATTTTCTAATATTTAATACTGCTGTTAGTAATGTTAGTAACAATATAGTAATTATAATGTTTATAACAAAATAACAGTCAATATTGATAGCATTAGTAAAAAAAAGAGTTTTCCCGCTTTTTCAAGGAAAAGTGAGGTCGCAAGATCTACTAATTGACTCCTTTGTGGCTAAGCATTGGCAAAGCCATCTATGCACAGAAACATTTAACCAAGTATTGCAAAAGGGAATGCACCATTTTCCCATCAACATTGAGTTAAAACTGAAAATAATTTGGACAGTTTTGGCTTTCCATTCTACTGTCAAATACCTGTGGATATAATGTACACTGGAAGAAATATACTAAGTAGGGCCAACTGTGCAAAAAGTTGACAAAATATATAGGCTAAAAGATATCAGAGAAAAGCTATTGATAATTCCTTCACTAGTCAGTACTTTTATAAGATCTACCTACCTAAAGGATTTTATACTTTATGAACTCTTTCACAAGATGGTGCTATCATTCTGCATGCTAGAATTGTCTGATATCTGAGAATTGTCTGATATCTGAAAAAAACATCACTAACTTTATATCTGGCTGTTGTCAGAAATTGCATGGTCCCTAAAAGACTGAACTATAGTAAGATATGGTCTGTTATATGTCTACAGGTAGTGATGCACCAATATTATAGGACAGAGATATATTTTCAGCCCAAATATATCACCCTCTCTTACATCTCACAAAAGAAAACAGTAACATCACACAGGAAAAATCTGTCATTTCTGGAAACTCATTTTGCTGTACTATTGTGTTTAGTGTTACTTCTGCTCAATCTGCTTCATTCTTGGTGCAATTTTTCAGGAATGCCATTGTCAAGTTTGATTTCAATATCATATTATGGACAAATATTGCATCATATATGTATCATAATATAAATTACTGTTCTATACACTTTGCAATTGAGATTCTACAATGTGTGAGTCTATATTCACTGAAATTTCATATATGTACTCTATCAAAAAAAGAGGAAATACTAAATTACATAAAAAAGTAAATTAACAAGTATGATGGACACTTACTTGTCTATAGAGATAAGGGATTTTGTCGATCATGTAACGCCTTGGAGTTGCAGGCAAAATGACGACATGGTGTTTGCCTTCTCTCTGCCCCAAACGTTCCATCAATCTGTGGCGCCGTTCAGCATATTCTGCTCTTGTGATACCAAATGTAATCTGTAATATAGCATCATTATTTTTAAATTGATCTCAGTCATCACACTTAATATTAACT